CAACTACTACTGCTCTCCTCTTTCATTGCGACCTTGTGCCACGATCGCCGCAAGACAAAATAGTAAGAGGTGCGCTTGCCGTGATTTAATAGCAATACCACGCGTACTGTGCCCCTTCGGACTCAAACGCTGCGTAAACAACACAGCAACAAGCAGTCGTGTCAAACTTGGCTGGTGCAGGTGTCATGGTTCTCATCAGAAGCGCAGCTTGGTGTTTCTGGCCGTGCAGATGCATAGCAGCTCGAGGTGTCTCAGGCTAATTGTCGTAATGGATAATTTTCCATAGGCATCTGCAGAAATGGATGCGTCCTGTCTTTGCAGCTTCTGTCTCGATCACCACTGTGACCGCTATGCATTCGATGATACCGAGCGACGTCATCCCAGACAGGGTTCTCCACCGGCAGTGGTCTCTCTGGTGCCCCGAGCCGGGTGTGAAACCGGGCCTTTGAAAACGACTGGGCGCTCTCTGGGCCTAGGATGCCTAGGCCCAGGCGCCCGCTTCGGGAGCTCCAAACAGAGTTGCGACTCCTGGAAGTTATCAGACAGGGCAGGGCAAAGTCGTCTTTTAGGGGTCCAGTCGGCTCACTTCCAGTTCCGGCTTCTCCGTTGCTTCCGGGCTGTTCTCAGCCAGCTTAGCTTGCAAGAGGGAATAAATCTGATCCCAGATCCTCTCATTGAGAACAGCCCGGACATGCGGGAGCTGATTACTGATGCACATCTGCAGCACCTCCCAGGTCCACGCGCCTCGCAGGGGATGAGTGGGGGTTACAGGGCCACCGACATGAGCTAGTGCGAAATAGTGCGAAAGCGCTCCTGCAGTGGATCGGAAGCAAGGACCATATGTTTGGCGATGGTTGGTAAGCCCGAAAGGCTGTCTGAACATCTTGCAAGAGCTGCTGAACTTCCAACTGTGGCACATCCAGAGAGCCTACAGCAACGACAAGAAGCCTGTTTAAGAAGCCAGGCAAACTGAGTCTTGCCCAGACCTCAACTTTCGATGTAAGCCATGAGAAAAACAGGTTTGGCACCGCTGGTCCCTACTGCTTGGCTGCCCCGGCACGACATGAAGCCTGCAGCCTCAATGTGCGGGACTCTCGTTTGCTCGGCGGCGCGGGGTGGGAGGACACAGCTTGGACAGGAGGCCCCTCGGCACCTCTCTTAGGAGCGCCATCGAGGCTTTGCTGCAGAGGAGCGGCCCGTGTTAAACCTCGGAGCGCAGTGCCGAAGCCGAAGCGGTGGGCTCCCTTGGACGAGACGGTGGGCCGCGGACGCTGGGGTCGGCGAGGGAGCCCGGCGCAGGTGGGCCGTCATGGAACGCTGATTGGACCTGCGACCGAGGTGAAACCTTCGCCGGCTCTGCTCTCTAAACCCCGGCCCTGTCAGACCTTTCGAACGGCGAGCTCCCAGCCCCCGGGTAGGAGTGTCCCGGAGCCTTTGTCAGCCGTCAATGCAGGCCACAGACTGAACATGAGCAAAGAGACCACGGAAGCTGCTGCAAGACCGAGAAAGCGACATACTTTGTTGCCGGGACGGGGGAGCTCCGAGCATTGGTCCTCGTTGTCTTGCGCTTCTCTTTTGCCACGAAGTCTTTCCAGAAAACGCCGCTAAGGCCAGTGCGGGGATGGTGGCCGTGAGGACGAACTTGACCTCCGATCGCTGCATGTCACGCGTGACTCTACCCAGACGCTCTGCGCCCTGACTTGATCCAAGGGTGGGGCCGCACTTGACCTGCACTCGGCGATGCCTCACTCGGACGGCAGGCCCTTGCGCGCCCACTGACAAAGCAGACAATGCCCTCCCGGGTCTCAAACCGGCCGTCGCTGTGATCCAGATCTGATTGGTGTAGACGCGGACCTCCCGCTGCCGCTCGTGGCCCTATACTCCAAGCTTGCAATTGGGACTAATTCCTATGCTTCCACAACCAGCACTTACTGTGCTGCGCGGTCCCGGCTCTGGGACAGTGCGAAGCTCTACAAGGTACAACTATAATCACATGACATGTCACAGAACCGCGCAGGTGGTCTCCAAGATCAACTTCAGCTCAAAAAGGAGGTGGAAGAGATGTCGCAAGCCCAAAACCCCAGAACGTAAAGTCCCAGCATTCATCCGCAGACCTATAGGACCTGGCCGCAGCCCCAAGCCCTGGAGAGTACGAATCCTATACTCTGAGCTCAAACACAAATCCCAAGTACCGAAGCATTGCGAGGATGTCGCTGGGGCTCTGCACCCAGGGGGCGGCGCGGTAGACGGTCGACTCCGGCCGGGACCTGCCAAGCGGACAACTCTTTCTGCTTAGTTTGGGGGTTTTGGGTTTAGGGTTTAGTTTGATTTTTCCCCAGTCTTGTGCATCTTCGGCCCCTCAGGAAGCTGAGAGGTCAGAAGGCCTCACAAACTGTTCTTGGGAGGGCAACAACCAAAGATCACCGCAGAGCTAAGGAGTGAAGCGATGGGAAGGATTGCCCAGCCGACAACCCATTCGGGCGAGTGGAGTCACGGCAGTACGGCGTCATGCCCTGCTCCGCTTGAAGGTCCACTATCCAACTGAGATCATCACTACAGCATACGCTGTCTATCAGTCCATGTAAAGAGCTGCGCAAAAGCTCGATCTTCAAATTGTGTGCAGGGAACTTGGTGGATTGTGTTGCCGGAAGTCAGCAAGTCGACAGGTGCGGAGCCGTGTAAACATGTAGGCGAGACGAGCAGCGTCTCCGAGCAAATCTGCTTTCACTCGAACCTCAATGCGCAGGCCGTGCTCTCGGCGAGCCACTCCAGGAGGCTCGTGTCAACACGTCACATCGGCTTCCGGCCGGACCGCCACTGCGGAAAGCGCCCATGCCCCGGGCCTGTGCCCATGTGAGCTTCTCAGAGATGGCACAGGGCTGATCAAAATGAAGGGAGCTGACCCCGCAGCCCGCGGTTGAAGGTCCAGGATTCGTCGCTCGCGCGGCCCCCAAAGTAAAGCCAAAGCCTGTGCTTCGTGCACACAGTCCGCTAGGTGCCTTTCAACTGCTGCAGGCATGGCATCTAAGGCCGCAAGCTGAGGAGGCTGCTTTGTGGTCCTGCACTCTGGGAAACTGTCGTCGGATAGCGGCCTGCCCAGTAGCCCAGCTTAGAAGCGCGTCTCACACTGCGACCATGACACACACGGGATTCAAATCACGATGACAGTACAATCTACGGACAACATACATCTATATATACATATATGTGTGTGTATATATGTATATATATTGCACTTTCTGCGTATCAGCACGGGCTTCAGAAATGCCGATTGACCATCGGTGCACTTTACGTGCATCCATAATCCGCAGTGTACTTTGACTCTATAGACGGTGTCTCCTGTAACATGGGGCATCCTGCTAGGGCAGCCGGACTGGTAGAAGTTTGCAATGACAGACTACTGAAGGCATCTGTCCAGGTCCATAAGAACACACCCCTGTATGGGGAGGCTGTTCCCAAATAGGTTCCGTTTCATGGGTTCTTGGTCGAGCGGAAAGGTTTGCTCCAACTAGGCACCTGACTTAGGACCCTTATCTGCAACGTTGCTTGATGAGGAAAGGGACTTCACCCCACAGGATCTATAGGCTACTTCTACCCTAGCTCTAACCGCAGACCCTAAACCCTGAAATTTAAAGCGCTTACGCCTGAAAACCCCAGGCTCTAATTCCCTCTCTGCTGCTCAACCGGCTTGATCCACGTCTGTCCTTTCAAACACAACTGCATGTACCAAGTCTATATACATATACATACATAATATATATATATA